TTTTTTTAATAAAAGGGAATTTAGATTTGATGCAGATAAGTGGGGCTGTTTTTTATGTGAGTAAGGGTAGAGTCACTACTTTATTTATGTCAGCTTGTGTTGCGAAGTTGTAGGAAGTAAGCACGGATTGCTGCTCTCTCCTCAGCAGTCTTAGCATCTGACTTAGTATCTTGGATGCAAATACAGTATCTTTCTGATGAAGCAATCATATTGGAAGGCAAGGTATCAGATTTGACATTCAAAGAGCCTATAGCATCCTATGGTTATTTACCTTTTTGTAAACATGTGGACATCCTTGGTATCAAAAATTACACTTCAGGGTTCAACTTTCTGGAGAAATACCGTGTATTTATTGGATAAATTTGCCACTGCAAATATAGTGTAACACGTACAATCTCCACAAAGACTAATGTTCTTCAGGAAAGAACTACAAAGGAAATCTGTTACTGTAACATCTTGTATATACGAATATTACCTGGGGCAAGTAGATATGTCACTTCAAGCTTATTTTCACAGTTATGTCAGATATTTCAGCCACAAAGACTATTACACCTACTCATTGAGTCAAAGTGCAACCCGGAGGCTCTCTAAAGGCGAGGCACTGAATACAGCATCAGGAAGACTTACTCAGACCAGAATTGTCCATAATTTCTTTCAAAATTATACCTAAGTGCTTGCCCAACAAAACACATTTTACTGAGCACTACTTCTCATACTAACCTGGTTTCAGACCTCTGAATCACGCACATCTCAAAATAGAGATATAAGAACACAAAATCTGATTGACATTTGCAATAATGTAAATTACTAAGATGTCCTGCTATGGAACATTACTATTACCTCAACAGTTTATTGTAAGGTTTATGCCATCTGTCTCGACAGGAATAAACACCATGTGATGGGTTGAATGTTTATAATGGGTAGTTCAATCTAAACACGCATCATATTTAAGAAGTTGATCAGATGTTTTGTGTGTATAACCTTGATCTTTAAAGTAACTTATTACTATAGCTGCCAAAAAAATTTAATGGAGTAAATCTTCATGTTCAAGCAAGGCCTGCAGTAGATATTTATCTTAGAAATTGTTAGGTATCCTAAGGAATAGAGTGGAAACAATCAATAGAAAGGTATCAAGAAAAAATGCCAGACATTTGCTGGTTGCAGAACCTCCGTGTTGCTTTTCTTTGTCTTACATTATAGTAAACTATTTCAGACATTCTGCAGATCATTAGCTGAAACCCTAAAAGAACCCTTCAATGGGATTTTGCAATTTACAATGAGAACACAAACTAGTGAAACAGCAGCTACCCTGGAAAGTGGTAGCAGCACTTCAGCTCTTGAATGCCGTTTGACATCCGCACACATCCTCAGCACTGACTGCAAGTGACATCAGACCAGCTGGATATCAAATCCTCCTCCCTGAAAAATGGCTAGCAAGAAGACATGTCAGACTGAATACTGGAGAGGTACTGAAATGGCGATTCAGTCTGAATATCAGGCCATCCCATTGCACCCATGGCACTTGTGCTTGTTCTGTCTAAACACTTCTCCACATGCAAGCTGCTGATCACAGTCTTCAAGTGGGACACACGTTTTGTGCTTCTCACACCCCTGAGGCAGACTGCTATTTTCAGCAGGAGTTTATGACTGAGGGAGGCCGTTTAAATCTTTTTAACATCTCCAAAATGATGGAATCAATAGTCCATTAAACTCTTATATAAAAGGCCATAATGACAAAATGATGCTCCCTGATTCTAAAATCTGTCGACTCAAATCACACACACACCAAAATGTAGCTTGATGGATCCGTCTGCCTGAAAGATGGAACAAAAAACAATTCAACGACTCATTTTCTGTCTGGTTTGGTTCTGTGGCTCTTCTGAGAAATTTGGTATTTTATGCTATCCCCCTAAAGAGGCTGATGCCTTTAACCTTAACACTTATCCGTTGGAATTGGGGGCTTGTGTCTTGTTCGGGGATGCTTGAAAAAGGATTGTCAGTCTAACTGCCCCAAGAGGATTTTATCTGTGACCTTCAAAATTGTAAGGTCAGCAATGTATTCCTCCTGACAAGAGTAACATCAAGAAGGTCTGGAGTTAGAGACTGATGTGAATAGCCACTTTGGAAATGCATAAAACATTTAAAAGTTTACTGTTGCTCAAGTAATTGTTCTCATCTCCAATAACTAATTTCCCTTACCCCGTCCTCAGATTGAAATCATTCAATTTTCATTTTAACATTCGCTAAATTAACGTTTACAAAACATGTTGCAGTCTTGTTAAGTAAGCGCTTCACATTTATTTCCGCTGATGAATTAATGAAAAGCGAGTGGGGAAACGAATGCAACTAAAACAAAAGCAAAACAAAAAATTTCAGAGGTGCTGAGTGATGAAGGGCAGACTGTGAAGGGGCAACCAGTACAGCAGAAAAGCCTCATAGTCAAACCCATGAGGAACTAAGTATTTTGTGTCCTTCTTCCTGGATATTTCAATTAAATCTCTTTTATTTTCTACAAGGGAGTTGCTGCCATTCAGTGTACTTGTGCAAAGAATGTAGTTACGTCAATGGATTATGAAAGACCTACTTTAAGTGTTTTTCCCCTCTCTGCATGGGAGCGTCACAGCAGCTTTGCCTGCTACTGGATTAAGGAACTGTGTTTTAGTCAGACCAAGCGATACACTTAGTTTCCAGTCTATTAGGTGCACCTCAAAGAGGGACAAGGATGATCAATGGCTATTTATTAAGTGTTAGCCAGCACTGTACTTATATGAGTGTGTGATGGCATACTGCTAAATATGTCTGGAGACAGCAAAATGCATCTTTTCTGTTAATATAAACAGGCAGTGAAATGGTTTTAACTTTATTAAGACTACATAAACCACCAGCACTTACTGGACACAAAGCTGACATCAGATCATCATCCTTCCCACAGGATGACTAAATCGAGCCTGGGGAAGGGACGGAAGTCAGAGGAATTCATAACTGTCATTTATTATAATCTGACAGCTGTTTTATAAGCTGCACCTGTTACAGCACAGGAGCCATAATTGATGATTGTCTCCTGAGGATAAATTCAGGAAATCAGTCATGCTTGTTTTCACAAACTGGAGCAAAAGAATTGGTGATGAGAAATTATTATGTCAGTTACCTTTGAATCATGCAGCTGTAGTGTCAATTGCATGTTTGCTGTACCTATGCTGAATAAGAGCTTTCAAAATTTACACCTGTCTTGACAAGTACACCCCTGCACTTTGGTAACCCACCAAAAAAAATATTTTATTAAGGGTATGGGTAAAAATGAAAATAATGTACAGTGTTGCTGTCTTTTATTTTCATCTTTACCAACATAATTAGATTATATAATGTTTTGGAACAGCTCACCAGCATGTAGAAAAGTACAGGTCAGTTTCTGTTAAATCCTGGTGTTACATAATAAATTAAAGTAAACACATTGCCAGCTGTGCATAAAATACACAAGACTTTAGAGGTATGAGTGAATGCCTCAAGCAATGAGTTGTACTGAGAAGGAGGAAATGCAAGTGAACATGATCCATTCAAAAATTGGATCACACAATCCACACGCATCAATGTGAATGTTTTTTTTTAACTGTATTTGCTTATTTTCCCACGTTTGCACCTGTATTGCCTACACCAGAAAGCAAATCAGAGCCTATTTAATTATGGGTACAGGTTAGGCCGGGTCCGAGACTAAGCTTTGCAGATGCAGGGCTGTTATAGGTTTGCAAAACTGGATCTGTACAGAACTCTGAGGTACACCATATCAGCAGAACGGATCAATGCGCATGCAGTATAAAGTTTCCCTTGTGCACAGCTTCCTATTTTCTATTTGTGGCCCGTGGCCTCGTTGTACTGAGCTCATACAACTTGCTTTTGAGTTTTTAAAAAAACATAATGTTTTGATTTATCACAGACTCATTTGTGTCTAAGTTTAACAAGGACATTTGTTTTCAAAACCATTTGAAGTTAATAAATAATGACACAAAATAACATCTGTTGTATTTCCGGTCAAAACTGAATGTTATTATTATTATTTTATAAGCAAGGAAAGGACACAGGCCCAAAACTACACATAAAAACTTAACATATTACGACACTGATATCTCAACACATGAAAGAAAACCAGTAGCAATAAGAGTATTATTAAGAAACCGTAAAAACATCAAAATGTTCACATTCTGTCAATCACAGGTGGTTACATTTTGTGTGTTCTATGGGGGGGCTGCTGCATGTTCCTTCCAAATATATGACATTGAGGTGTGTGTGTGTGTGTGTGTCCTATACATTATTAAAACAAAGTTGCAATTGTTCATAAAGTGAGATTCCCGTGGGGGAAAGATAGGGGAAAAGGTTCCTGTGCGGATTGCCATTGTAGAAATGCCGGTGGGGGGTCTGGGAGAGGAAGTGTGTCCAACTGATATGGGGATGGGCCTGAACTCTAGAGTAGTCTCACTCATTCATTTCTGATGGCTTGTCATTTTTGACCACAAGTGTTCAAAAGAAAAATAAAACCTATCCCAAATCCCCAAATTTAATAAAAATGACCAACATTAATTTTGTGTGATCAGATGCCCTGTGTGGACAAGGTCATGGAACATTATGAAAATCGCATTAAGTTAACTACATTTTTCAGAGAGAAAACTTAAATCGTTCCAATTCAACCAGAACACAACAGGACACTTTACTGAAAGATCACTGACGCTCTGATGGCATTACTTGTTATTCTGGAGAGGGCAAATAACTACCACTGCAATGACCACTATAGGCAGGGAGCAGAATTAATTCATAGTACAACAATATGACTGTATCTATATATTAAATGAATCACTGAAGAGTCCAGTTAGAAGCTTTGAATGTCAGTGTACGTACCAACTATTATCTAAGTGCCCCACACAGCTGGTACATTGCAGATGTATGTAGGCAAAAGGGTTATGCAGCACATGAACATATTAACATTTGTTCAAGTAGAAACAATGACTCACCACAGTTCTCCTCATCCGCTTGATTTCCACAGTCATCGATGCCGTTGCAGTGCAAGAGCTGAGGCAGGCACACGGTCAGGTTGCCACAGGGGAACAATCCAAGGGGGCACGATGCCTTCTCCTCTGTGATATTGAGTGCTAGAAGCAAAGCAGAAACAATCCAAGAATATAATTATGAATGCAAAGATTTCTTCCACTTATCTTTGTCAGGGACATATTGAGAGCCCTTGTTAAACATTTCAGTGAACATGTGGAGTCTGTGCATCTCTTCTGGGGAGCTTTTGTATCCATTTGTCCAAACCTATGTCAATGGGCTCTTTCAGCGCTTCAGGGAGCTGTTCTCTGTTCAATCCATGTTGAGTTGCTGTGTTTCCTTATTTGATTCAACTGTAATCTTAATAGTTTTGTATGGCTACTGCTTTACTTTACTTCAGAGACTAAATTATGCAGGGACATAGAACAAACAGTGCAGGCTGACAAATGTGGTAAATGTAAAACAGACATCATAAGCTGGAAGAGAGATTTATTAATTCTCTCACACCTCATCATTATTGAAATTCCTTATTCACATGCCATAATGAGTCTGACTTATTATGCCTCTGGTTCAAGATACAGCAGAAAGGCCAATGACAAGCCAGCTGCAGATCACACATAAGACATACACTGGCATCCCCGTACTGGCACCCAATTAAGAACAGAATAGAATTTATGATTCTCCTCATCATCGACAGGGTACTTAACAGTCTGGCTTCATGCTAAATCACTGATTTATCATCTCCTTATGTCCCAACAAGACCGGTCAGATCTTCTCGGGTCCCTCATTAAGCACAAAAGGCAAGTGTGTCTTATCCCTTTGGCCCTACCGTTACTCTTTGTAACGTAAGTGTCCAATATGATTAAATGTCATGGGAAATAAGCTAAACATATAACTGAACATACGCGTATTTGGCCAATAAACATAGAGAATAGGTATTAAGAAGTAGTCGCAAAGAGCTTGGGATGCTTCAGTACACAGAGCTGGTTAATGACACATTTAACAAGTTTATAACAGTATATTGGTCATTTGAAAGTACCACCTTATGTTATGAGTATCACTGTCTAATTAGAAGGTTTTAGTCTGTGGTCTATAGTACAATACCAGATGAATTTAAGTGTTTGCTGGTTTCATCATTTTTTATTTGATTTGTAAAATAAATATAAATGTGTGCTGTCCAACATTTATTCAAAGTTAATAAAAATAAAAAAAACATTATCCTGCCATGCCCTGAAAGACTTCATGACCTGCTTCTGACATCGAGCATCTCAAAGCTGCCTCTTTAAACCTCCTGTTCTCTGTAAAATTGGAGTTCAGGGTCCCATTAAATCAAAAATAACTTTTCAGTGCTGTTGTCTTCAGATAGGATCTGTATGTTAGGCTATGTCTATAACATACTGCGTATGTCAAAAACATTTATTTTGGAGTTTTATATTAAAATCCCATGGTCCTCAGAACCTGGAAAATGATAACATTTCCTCAACAGCGCATCTTAATCTTGAAGGCATACATACAGATTCAAAATAATCACAGATTTTAAGGCAACCAACAAGCCGCTTCTATCACCTAAAACTTCCACATCTACCTTCGTGTTTCAAATCAAATCCTCCGGTTCTAACAACCTGTTTACTGCAAAACCACATCAAACGCCGGAAAATAATTCTGCTCTCACAGTCGTTTCAAAGAAAGCTTTTGGTGATGCCTCGTGTTCGTCAGTGCATTTTGTTATTCCTGATGATTACAAGTCAAACATTGGTTTGGGGGGCATTTCATTAGAGAGAACACAGTGGAGAGATGAAATTAGGGAAGAGATGGTGAATGACATGAAGGTCCCTGAGTGGACTTGATTCACAGACAGCAACTTAAACCATCCAGCCCCGGGGTGATCAATGAAACTTGAATAAAAAAAATAACATTAACATTAAATTTTGGAGGCAAAACCAAGGACTATTTGCTTGACCCGTTATACCATTAACATAAGGAGAAGGTTGGCAGTTCGATCTTCGTAAATGAGGAAAGAGAAAGTGAAGGACAATAAGGTCCCTGACTGGACTCAAACTCGATTGATGGACAGCAATTTAAACCATTCAGCCATGGTTGATCAATGAAAATTAAATTAAAAAAAAAATAACATTAACATTACATTTTGGAGGCAGAACCAAAGACTATTTGCTTGACCCATTATTTACATAAGGAACAGGTTGGCGGTTCGATCCCGGCTCTTCTCTCTGCATGCTGAAGTGCCCTTGGGCAAGAAACTGAACCCCAAATTGCTCCTGATGCTGTGCCATCAGCGTGAGTGTGTGAATGGGTGAATGTGACATGTAGTGTGTAGCGTTTAAAAAGGCGCTATATACGTGCAGTCCGTTTACCATTTAAATCCATCATAGTAGAGGAGGATGCACCTTAATCAGCCATGATTTTATGGTGCAGCCAAATGGCATGTTGACCACAGTGATTGAGGTTGATTTTACCATTTATGGGTGAGTTACATTTTTTATGAGGAATCATGACTGCTGGTCTTCTGTGACTGGCAGCAAAAGTGAAAACTGTCACTAGGAGCACAATAAATCACAAATTGAAGAAAGAACAAAACTGCGCCAGCTGATGTTATATTATTATTATTATTATTATTATTATTATTATAATATAATATAATATTATTATCCAAGCAGGTGTCCAAGGACAGCAGTGTAAGTCATTGGCTTAAGATTTCGAACAAAACTTTTAGTTGACAATTATTGTTATACTAACCCTAACTGTTTGTTTGCAAAACAAAGTGCAAGCAGCATATCTGAGTCACTAATCCACATTTACAAATCTCAAATCATCAGCCACTGCAGCTACATTTATGAATGAGTTTATAACATTTTTCATGAAGAGCATGACTACCTGTCCTCATTGACTGAGTGAAAACTGTTGCTAATGTCTCCACCTTTATTTAAAAACTGCAGTGAACATATCTGTTTTCTACTCACAGTCACTAGTAAAAAAAAAAAAAAAAAGCAATAAAAGCTCTTCAATAATATATTTGTGATTACTGGAAAAGGAACAGCAATTTACAACTACTAGTTTAGTTGCCTGAACAAAGAGAATGTTCTATTCTCATTTTCTGGATGAACTTGAGGTCAGGTAATAGAAGTTTTCTCACAATAATAAACACACGTTCATAATTACGCTTTTGGTATTTTTTGTTTTGTTTTGACCCTCACCAAAGGTTTACAACTGATTCACTGAAGCAGAAAAAGTAACTATAGCAGAGATAAGTGAATATTTGTCACAGAACTCAAAACTTTTCTGATATTTATATATTTAATTTTGTTATTAAACTCACAAGAGTATTTGTTTATATGTAAGGGCACACTTCCAAAGTCATATGGTGTTCAATTAAAGCACAAGAGATCTTCATCCATTATTGGCTTTGCTTTAGACATGCATCATATTTACAATGGCGAGGTTACAGTTAAGTGCTGGCACTTAACTGTAACCCAAATTCCCACCAGACACGAGCCGTAGTAATGAATCACACAGTGCCAATTCTGTCTCCAAGCCACATGGGAAGATGTTTTAGATGTCTGTTTTCTAAAATAAATGCCAAATAAATCACCATTCCCTGGAGTATAAACTTGTAAATTCATGGCAAATATGAAAATCTTATTAGAACCAGACATCCTTTAATGTGTGGGATGCACAGTGCCTGCCACCATATCACAATGCAAAATTATTTCAGTCTGAAGAACTACCTTAAGAGCAGTTGATAGTTTTGGAATTACATAATACACAAGCAGGGGGAAAATGTTTGATATATTTTTTATTAGTGAAGAAAAGTAGTGAAAACCAGCAGCTCTGACAAAAATATTTCTTGCAAGTATGTAGCGTACAAGCAAAAACTGTCCAACAGGAGGGCACATTACTAGCTATATGTATCTTTAGTTAAGACTGTATGTGTGTTATGAGTCATTTCCAGGCTGTGGATCACAATGTCTCCACGTTTGCACATCTATAATAAAGCTTCTTCTGTCAAAGTATAACCTTTTCAGCTTTACAGCTACTGTGCATTGTCAGAGTTAAAGGGAACAGAGGAGACCTTTAAGCTATGATAGAATATATATATTATATATATATATATATATATATATATATATATATAATAGAAATAAAAAAAGGATCAGTTGAATCACTATATATTTTTCTTTAGTGACACTGTACTAGTGTGCAGACCATTCCAGTGCAGCACATGCACTGTGGACATTGTTATGCAATTTGTAACACTGCAGTTCAATATAACTGCGAGTAAAGTTAAGACTGAGAAATATTGAGTTTACCTGACAGTGTAGAAATGGAAATGTGTCATTTATATTTCAAATAGACCATTAGACTTCCAACCATACATTTGCTCTGTTTAAGGGCCTGGAGATGCTTCGATATTTTGTACGTTCTACAAGATCTATGCTGACTAGTGCTGAAAAAGACTTCTAATCAAATGTTTTGCATCCTCAGTTGAAAGTTGTTCTCAAAACAGCTGATGGCCAGCTGTACACCCGCACAAGACGAAATATGAGCTCATTATCTGTGTTCATAATCCAAAAAACATCTCGGAGAGACAAAACAAGTAATTCTACTACACTTAATTGTCCTCATTGGAAAACTTTCTTGGCCTTCACCGCATGACAGATTGGCCATACATATTACAAATTTTTACGCCAATGGTTTTCTGTCTTGCTTGGAATATGAAATAAGAGTATGTATGACAGCACTGACACTCTAAAATTTGCCAGCCCATGGTCTTTTTATTCAAGATAACGCACAGTATATAGGAGGAAATAATGATTTGCTAGGCTGGACAGCCACTCAAGATAGCTCTCTCTCACTGACTGCCTCCATGACTCTTTCAGTGCTGTAAACACAAACTGATAAGGACTGACTAGACCTAGCAGGGCAATACTCATCCCAAAAACCACGAGCGATGGTTAACACACACACCTGATAGCAAACTGACTGTGAATCAGGGCCCAACAGATCATTAGGGCATTACTCTGAGAGCTTCTGAAGAGTCGCCTATCATCTGTTGACTGTGACAACAGAAAAAATATAATCAATATTGGTTGATTCCTTTTGCAGAAGATCCATTTTTCACATGGCACTGCACAGCAAGGCCAATTACCATTCTGAATTGTTTTTTTTTCTCCACAGATTTTGGACACTGTGTTCCAAGTATAATGCAAGCAAAGCATAAACAGTTATGCAATAGATTCATGCCCTGGTGACAGCGCCTTACAGTATCATAAGTACTAGAGCTGCTTTTTTTAAAAGCAAACTTTAAACTTCCAGAAAACCCCAATGCACTTTAAACACACAGCTTAAATGCCAACACTTGATTTATGAGGATAAAATACACATACTGGATTAAAGCTCCAACACTACTACACTAAAAGCAATATTTTGACCTGACAGGGTCTTGGTTAGGCTTTCTGACCCAGCAAATGATTGCTTTATTTTTATTCAATACAGGGTTGGCAGCTTGAATTCAGTGTACGCTTCCTTAAATCCTTCAAGCTTCACGTGCACTTAATACAGGATACGCAGTGCACACAGAACTACTGCACAGCGACTGCTAATACTCCTCACATTTACTGTCACAGATGTGATGGATACAGCATTACACTGCTCATGCTATACAATTGCTCATAGGGACTGCAACTAACACTTATTTTCATTATCGAATAATCTGCAGATTAATTTCAACATAAAATTGGTTAATCCTTTGATATATAAAATGTCAGAAAATATTTCCTCAAAGTCCACGGTGATGTCCTTCAATGTGTGTTTTACAAGTCTAATATTCCAATTCAAAATTATTCAAACATTCAGCTTTAGGTATAAAACAGATAAAAGAAGGAGATATCAATATTTGAGAGGCTGAAAACTGCATTTTCTGCCATTTCTACATGACAAATTACTCAGACCATTAATGGAATATCAAAATAGCTGGCGATTATTATTCTGTCAATCAACTAATCGACTAGTTTACTAATCCTTGGAGCTCTTATTTCTCTTGAAAAGGCTTCAAGAAGGCAATACCTCTATTACTGAAATAACAAGATTCACAGCACTACTGAGCCACCTCACACAAAAGAGAAAATACAGTGGATGAAAACACAAAGATCTTCAGCCCTATAGGCTACACATTATGAAACTGGGGTGGTGTCTTGTGTTTAAATGGGATTTTCACAGATTCTATAACCGAGGATATCTCAGGATCCTGTGAGATGCCTCCCACAGATGACAATCTCCTCCACTTCCAGTTAATTTGACAATATGCAGGCAGTTATTACATAGTGGATGGCATGCTGCCTTCAAAATGTTAATACAGCTCCTGCTACTTTAAAACCAATACAGATATCCTAATATAAAAAAACTATTAGATATCTGCTGGTATAGTTGCATGCCCTTCAACAAAAAAACCCCAAAACATCTTAAATGACTTTCTCTTGTAAAATCATCCTTCAAGTACCCGTATCCTCTTTCTTTTAGTCATCGGTGCAGATTACAGATACAGTCATTCGGAGAATCTTAAGGCTACTTCTTTGAAAATCGATCGTTTTTATACTTTCTGCTCAATCAGAGCTGATTTGATTGACAGCTTGTGCGCGAGCAGATTGAGCTGTAACGTAAATTCGTCAAGAGAAGAAGTTGCTAAACTTACCCGACACTCCATACGCGAAAATCACAGCCACATAAGCTTGCATGGTACCTCTGGGAAGTTTTGTGCGGAAAATCGCGCGTGTGGTGAGGAAGGCGCAGCGGTGCTGTGAGCCGCTTGTCCAAACCGGGATCCCGTGCGTAAAAAGAACGCCAAAAGTTTCGCAGTCAACGCGTGGACCGTGCGGATGAGACACGCGGGTGGAGCGGCGCTGCAGGAGGAGAGCCTGTAGCCGCTTCGCTGGGTCGAGTCGGTCTGAAGCCAGTTCGACAGAGAGTAAGGTGTAAGGAGACTCAGTTGCCACCATCTGACGCACGGGCAGCAGCAGCATAGGTGCAGCGCGCAGAGGAGGAGGGAGAGAGAGAGAGAGAGAGAGAGAGAGAGAGAGAGAGAGAGAGGGGGGAGGTATCTATCTGGGGCTCTAAAGAAGAAGGAGATTTTAGGCTCTGAAAGCAGTGTACCAACTATACCACGGCTTTTGGGGGCGCTTACTTTTTCTGCTGCTGCAGGGGTATAAATTCTGATTTTATTTTTCTAAAGTTAATGATATTGGGCTGTCACGCTGAACTGGTGATGGCAAAGTATCCTATTTAGGTCAGTCTGAGTTAACTGAGTTAGAGTCAGAAATCATTCATCAATAGTAGCTTAAGTTTAAGTATAGTCCAAAAATAGAAATGCATGGCAGAAATAGCATATTGCAGTCGCAGCAGTTACTGCAAGTTCAACCAATCCATGGCTCACTGGAACAAGTTGCCTTTTCATTAAAAAACCAACAACAAACTGAATACATCACAACAGGGATCACAATTTTCTAGAAAGAATTAAATCAGACATTTTAGGCTGCAACAATGGAGCCCCCCGGTGACATTGGATAAAAAAATAAAATAAAAAAAAAAAGCCTGGAGGGGCTGATATTGTCAGTATTTTGGAGACCAAACATTTCAGAAATCATCTAGATTGCACCCTGTCTAAAAGAAACAACTGACCGGAGGGATGCTGTTTGTCAAAATGCTTGCTGATTTGCATTCATTAGATGCATGTTGTCTCTGTCCAACTCTCCAGGGGAAGTGTGACAACCCTGCACATTCTCCCCATGTGTGTGTTTGATGGGGTCAGAGGACTGATGCGTTTAAGAGCATTGCAAACAAATTTGTGACAGACTGTGACAGCTTTCATGTTATATTTTGTCAAGAAAAAAAAAAACAATCCTTGCATGATTATCTACCTGAGATGTTTCTCTAATATACATTTTACCGCTTCAAAGTAATCAGCAGGAGAGTAAGTCCACAAGATGTTGTCGGGTTTTATCCACTGCCTGTTTATGTATGTGTTCACATAAAAGACTTGCTTGAAGGCAGTGGCTTTGGTCTGACAGGCAGGGCGATCCATGCCTGAAATCTGATTCCTCTTATCTTTTTACCCTTGCACTACTGTATATCCATCTTCTCAGTCTATATGCCTGCATTCTAAAGCCTTTAAAGATGACCTACAGTAAATGCAGTCATACAGATTCTCTCATCGGCAGTCTTCCAGTGCAACGAAAGTGAAGAATGCCTTAGGGCTGACACCTTCTGGTCAGTTAGTTTGTCAATATGCTCTTGTCCAATCAAACTCTCATTGGTCGGACAATTGTTGGTGTTTAATAAGGAGAAAATCACACATAGCACATAATCCATCATTTTCCAGGGCAGTTGGGACATGTAAAGATCTGATGTATTGTATTTTTGAGTTTGATAGGCAATATTGTTAAAAATAACATCAAAATAATCCAAACTAATTGACACCATGTCAAAGAACCAGCACAAATCATTAAACCAGACCCCGACCTCAGAGGACAGAAGAGCTGAGTGGATATTTTTGACGACAACATGCATGTGCAGTCCGTAGTAACGAACTGCTTTCTTAAGGAGGGCTAACGGTTCAAGATTGACACCAGTTTTACGTTGTTTTAGTGTTCATTTTGTAGTTTAGCTTGTTGAACTCTGCATTATCATGTTGTGCAACTAAGTGGCTATTGCCTCAGGCTGAGGGATTTGGGATTAATATTGTAATACTGAGGGAGGGTCAAGAGAAACTCTGTGAACGTTTAACCTCATTTGAAACTTAATCCGCGACCCTCGCCTGTATGTGTGTGTGTGTGTTTCTGTTGTATGTAAATTGAGTTGACGTTACCTGAAGGTAACAATATAACTGTGGGTGCAAAGGAAATTGTCAATCTACAGGAATTCATTTTCTTGGCAATGTTGTGCGACTTAGATTAGCACCCAGCAACTAGCAGGTACACAGCACTCAAATTTGTCCAATTTAATAATATTTTACTAATAAGTTAATCATGTATACCCACAGAGAATTGTCCCCCGGGTCTGCAATGCCCTTTAGCTCTATGTAGCCTTTTAGTGTCTTTCAGCTCATTGTTATGGTTTTACGGCCCACAACTTTACTGTTTTGGGTCTCTCTCATTAGTGTCATTTCCACACACAACAACACCCCCCCTCCCCTCAGTACTTTACCTGCCCAGCACCAAACAGCAGACACACAAAGTTAGCAATCAGCTGGTGAACTTAGCAAAGCAGATAGTTCAGAAGTTGATGGTGACTAAACAGAAGTAAACAGAGCGTAAACATTGGACTTACAATTGTTAGTTGGCCAGAGATTTTTAAATTTTTACAATGTATATACAATTTATGGCTTTTAATGAAAATACTAGAAGACTTGGCTTTGAAAACATTAACATTTGTTTCTAACACTTTAGAGCCACTGTAAAGCCTTTGAGTGTCAGATCATTATTGTAGATACAAACAAGCCCTGTGGGTGCTTGGCAAGCTACAGTAGCTTGTAACGTTTTGGCAGTCCATAAATTACTTGAATTACACCACTCGGGCATCCTGAAACACATCTTCAAATCTTCTCTCTGTTCTTGAAAAGGGGGATTGCATGTTTATTTTTAGGCTGCTTTGCTTTAGTATGCAACATTTCCCTCAGTTGTTTTGGCTGGATGCATGGTAGAGCTTTGATTTTACAAAGTACAATCATGACGAGGATTTGGGGTGTTAGAAATGTATAGATTTAAGAGAGTTGATTACTGATATTTCCTAGTTAATGTCAGCCTAAGCAGGCTTGACTTAAGCCTTTAAAAGTACCTGCTTACTTACTTACTGGCTGAAAGTGTTAGTTTAAGCAGTGCTGTGGCTACCATTGTGGACGCAGAGGAAAGGGAATTTTGATTCAATATACTGTGCTCTAAGCCTGGGACTGGGATAAGTATTGCTTTTGGTGCCAGTATAATACCTTACATTGCCTTTATTTGACAAGACAGCTCAAGATAGACCGGAAAGGGGGAGAGAGAGAGTGTGTGACATAGCAAAGGGCCACAGGTCAGACTCAAACCTATGGTGGCTGCAGCAAAGCCTCAGCTCCACAAGGTGAGTCTCTGCAGATACATACACCCCAAACACTTCAAAAGTGATGATTGAGAGAGATTATTTTTGAATGAGTGTATACAGTGTTTTTCTGAGGAAAGATCTCCATCTGCCTTTAAACTAGGGAAAGACTGTGGCTTCAATTAAATGTTAAGTGAACTTTTTACTTAAATCAGGTAATACCTGATCAAAGAATGAACCAAAGAATCTCATCAAGCATTCCAATCCACCTTCAATACTGTATACTTTTTGGAGACTCTCTCCAGAGAAAAAAGACATAATCAGTCTTTTTCAAAAATCTTCCCAAATGACATGTACTTAGGTTAAAAAATGGACAAATGACAGTTGTCATTCTTTAAACCAAACCATTACCATTTGTGCATTGTCACAACATAAAACATATACTTTTCTGTATAACACCTTTTTAACAGTGGTTTGCAACTGTTTTGGAAGGTGCGACCAACAATTATGTCCTGTGGATAGGTGCATCAGATCAGAAAGGGAAATATTTTGTTGTTTAATCTGGAGGACTAACTTATTTTTGACAGTCTCTGTTATATATTCATTCTGGTTAATACTCAAGTATTTAGATTCAATAGCCAGCTCCATAAAGGATGTTTTTTTTCTGTAACCAGAGTTGTATTCCTGACATTGTGGTGAAGGCATAAATGATTCATGAATTTGAAAGAATACAAAGAAAACATCCAAATAATTAAAACAAATTATTGTTTGGGAGGGTGGTTGACTTGAACTCATGACCTCAATATTTCTACAGCCCTGGTAATACAGTAATATCTTTCTTGTTTAGCTAAAGTGTTGTGTTCTTCCTCACCTTGATAAAACCTTTGTAGCTAATAAGGTTTTTAGTTAAAAATACAACTTTTTCAAGTGATTATAGTATATAAATGATATTGTGCATTAATATAGTCTTTTCATACACAATGTTTAATTTAAAAATACTACACAGAAACATGGCAGACTTTGACAATGGACAGCAATTAACGGCACATTGTCACATCAGCTGAAAATAATTCTGTACAGCTTGACTTTCATATTTCCAAAGCTATTAATGATATGGAGAATATTCAAAGGCTTTCAAAATGTGCATGGAAATGACTTGAGATCCTGTAGTTAAAGATAAAAAATATTATAGTTATTAGAATGCACAAATATCTTCCAGCTAATACTACAGAACTGGAACAAATGCAGTTTTTGTGCTGAGAAGACACTTGGCAGGCTGAAGTTGAAGCTGTGTTACTGTAGTTGTTTTTCCAGTTCGCTGCATATACTGTAGAAAGAGGTGTTTGTAAGGCTAAAATTGACTTAGTGATTGGAGAGGGATTGTGAATGAACAGGGGTAAAGTTCATGACCACAATTAAAAATCTGAAAATAAATTGTTAAAGACACTAATAAAACTGATAAACTGTGCTACTTTGGAGACATGCATGTCATATCATAAGAGCCTCCCTGCAGCACACTGCTGCTCTCACTAAACATTTACAACCTAGTAAGATGTATCTTCCCTCTACATCAGTTTTATCTTTATGTCTTTGAATTATTGATAATTTATCTAATGTGTGGGCTTTCAGGAAGCTGTCACACAAAATGTATAATTTATCAGCAATACTGACAACAGACAATTTAATAATGTCATAACAAACTTCTGAGGCTAGCAGAGTTAACTTCTGTATGTATCTTCTCTGTTGTGTGGAAAAGCTTGGGCGCAAGCTATACAGATAATTTAATACTATACTCGTGTTATTTATGATTTTGAATGCACGGTTGTTTGCATTTGAATTCATGTTATGTGCAGTATTTGCTCATGTTCTTTGTCTTCTTGTTGCTTTTGTTTAATCTCCAGCCATTTTCTCCGAATGTGTTGAATGCAAATAAAGACTGAGAGAATT